CTGAATCTCAGAAGCCTCCTAAGAATTATACTCATTTCACAGAGGAACTGATTTCCACACACTCTGCTGTTCACCTGCACATCTTTCCTAGGCTCAGTCCCTTAGTATTTCACTAAGTTCCTGTTCAGATTCTCACCCACTTCAGCTGGTCACAAGAGCGACCAGCTCAAAAGAAAAACAAGTTGTGCTGCCCCTTTGCTTTTCTGATTTGAATCCCCTGGAGTAAAATCTTATCTATACCTGTTTCACTCCCATTTAGCTAGGTACACTCTAGGCCACACAGTAAGCATTCTAGCAGTGTTTGCTCAGATCTCCCAGTTCTGGTAACAGACACTGGAGCAAGGCCACCTTGTCTTTCCCCAGGCAGTAAATAAAGAGCACTTTTCAATCACAAATGTTCAGTGGAGCCTCTGGATCAGCTAAGTTCATGTTTCTTCTCTGATCTCAGGTTTTTTTCATACCAAAAATGTCCACTGTGTTTCTCCCAGTGTTTTTCCTTTCTCTGTGGTAGACAGCACCATTACTACTGCTTGTAGCTGCTTCCACGGTTTGGTATCAATGTAGTCTTCTTTGTTTAATGAACCCAAGCTTCTTAGTCTCTGAGACACTCTCACTGTCCAGTATTGAATTTTAGTGAAATCCTCCTTTCACCCACCTCACTAACAAGCAGTATTCTCACTGCTAATATTTTGATCCTTGGAGCAACTAGAAAGGCAGCCTTCCTCTAATCTGACATCTTGTATCCACTCCCTCTTCATCTTTTTTGATGGAGCAAATGTTTTATTCACAGGAAATGGAAGAATTTGTACAGAGTTCTGGAGAAAATGGTATTGTGGTATTTTCTCTGGGGTCGATGGTTTTTAACATGCCAGAAGATAGAGCCAATATAATTGCATTTGCCCTTGCACAGATTCCACAAAAGGTAAGAAAAAGTGCCCTCTTAGTGGCCAAATATGTAAAAAGTCTGTTAAACTTTATAACGGGTTTGCTTATTGAAGCAACTTTTGTGAAACATAACCTATTGTGATATCTCTAATTCATCTCAAAAATGATGTTTTAAACCAAAATATGTGTGGTAATTCTAAACAGTAGAGAGTCTTTAATTCATGCTAATATTAACATTGTGATCATAAAAAATATATTTTACAGGTCTACTGTGAAATTTTAATTGTAAGGGTATCAAAGGCATTTACACAAGTACAACATTCTTCCCTGTTACTTCTTCCTTTTCCTTGATGGATTCCCGAGGGCACTATATAACTGCCAGTATTATCAGAAAGCTATAAAAAGTTAACTCATTAACTGCTCTACCACAATAATGCTAAGCAGGTATTGAAGAAGGCTGAATTTTATCATGATTTTAGTTATCCCATGCAATCCATTATTCCTTGGTTACCCTCATTTAAGAATAGTATTCTTGCCATAATATTCTACTTCATCTTTGGCCAAGAAAAATGGATTCTGCTAAATATGGACTGAACTTCTGAAACTGTAAGCCCAAAATATAACCCATCCTCATTAAAAAAAAAGTATAAATTTATTTAAGAAACTGTTCCTGGAGTTTTGAGGAGAAAGGCTACCCAAACCATTGGCCAAATTCCCACTCAGTCACATGTATTTATAGATAAAGAAAAAAACAGCTTGCACTAGTGGAGGAGATTCTGACAATGTCTGACAATTAGAGAAAGTGTAGAGATTAGTTCTGCCTTTGAAGTGGACCCGGTGCATTATAAAATGTACCCCAAAGGACTTTGCTTCTAAAAAATCAGACTAATACCTTTTAAGAAGAAAGAAGAGAGTATAAGTAAAAGTCAAGCAGAAGCAAGCCTGGCATGGGCTGAAATTCAAAAGTCCCCACCTCCATAAAATGCTTTAATACCAAATTTCTTGTAGTTTTTGAGTGTTTTCCATCTGCTTTGCACTTTCCTATCTGATATAGGCTTTTCCTAAACACCCAATTATTTTTCCTTCCCTAGACCTAAATTTACTTTACTGCTCCCATTGCATTTAGAAGATACGCACTTAGAAATTATAATCCAGTTCATGAAGATTGCTATTAATTTCCAGAGTCAGCTCCTTATTTTGTTCCTAGACATAAAAATGTCTTGGATATATATAAGACTACAACCAAGATTTGTACTGCATCATTGAATGATAACACACAGTTTTAAAACATTTAGCAACCTCACAATTCTGAACTTTATTTCAATATCCATGTAATTATTTGTAAGTTGCAAATGGTTTCTTCCTTTTAATAATTAAAGAATTTCCAAATTCACCAATATTGATAGAAGTGTGGGTTAAGGTCCATAAGTACCAATACAAGGTTTCTTATAGGTAGTGTTTAATAAATTGAAGTCTAAAACAAGGTACATGTAATTCTTAGTTAATATTCATTTATTTCTAATTGTAGCTTACTGCATTGATTTCCTTTTGTGTATTAAAAACAATGCAAACTGAAATAAGCATCTTAAACAATATATGTCCTGTCTATCCTATGTCACTCACAAGAAATAAACATGATATTAATTTGGAAAATGAAATCTAGGATAAAATGCATAAAACAAAATAATTATGGATTTTTAGTATGTATTTTTGTAATTCTCACTACTTAAAATTGTACTTATTTTCTTAAGTGTTAAATGTTGAACTAGATGATCTCTTAAATTTTTAGAATGCAAACATGCTATAACATTAAAATTTAAATCATAGAATAAGGTACATTCTTTACCAAACAGGTCATCTGGAGATATCAAGGCAAGAAGCCAGATAAATTAGGACCCAACACTCGAATATACAACTGGATCCCCCAGAATGACCTTCTTGGTAAGACTCTGAGATAAGTCCTAAAAGCA